AAAAAGAAACAAGTAACTTGGTAAAAAACACCAAAGTGCCAATAAGTAAGTAGGCAAATCCAATACAGAAGAGACACAATGAATAAGTTGTATGGGACAGTATTTAACATCATTATTTATCAAAAACATGAATACAAAAACTACAGTGAGGAAGTATCATTTTATACCTATTAATATTTTTGCTGCTATAATATGAAATTTAAATGGGTGACAGGATATTATGATAGACTCTTTTTACAAGACAGTTAAGCAATTTGTTTTTAAAACTATAAATGTACATATCCTTTTATGTAGCTTATTATCCTAAGGAAATATCCAGAAGAAGGAAAGATTATATGTAAATAATGTTCACTGCAACATTATGCATCATTTGATAAATTGGAGTCAATTTAATTACTAAAAGTAGGGAAGGGTTAAAAATACGATAGTGCATAAACTCAATGGGATATTATGCAGCTAATAAAAAATAATTTTCTTGCAATATGGAAACAAATATACATGATTTTATTTGCTAAGCTCTTATAAAGATTATGTGTTCAGGGACTAGACTGAACAAGAACAGGGGTTAGAAAACTTTAAATGTTTAGTGGGGATCTTTGTTCTAATAAGAGCTTTTTAAAAGGTTAAATAATTTATTTAGTTGATTAGCGAGTTTTATAATTTGGTTTTGTTAAAAGACTTTATCTTTAAAATTTTTTATACACTTAAGAAGCGTTAAAATAAATATCATGTTTATAGAATCACATAAAATGGCAGAAATGTATAGAATTCTAAACTTCAAAGTAAACCATTTGTACAGTATGAATCTGCAGTAATCTTCCTGTGAAAAGCAAAGCATAGTGCATCATATTGGATTTAGATATAATAGTGTAAGTCTGATATAGAACAGCTTGCTGTTATACTTACACATAAAATCATAGAATTGAAGGAGACCATCTAATTTAATCCCCTCATTTTATAATTAAGGAAACCAAGTCACATTAGAGCTACTTAGTGGTATAGTTAGACTTAAGCTTTAATTTTCTTGTTTACTATTCTAATAAACCATGCTGACTCTACCACAGGACAAATCATGTCCTCTACTACTGTGTAGTAGTCAAAGTTTTATGTACACATGAATATACACATTCATTCTGTTCCTAAATATCAGTGTTATAAAGGGGTTCCACTGTACTCGTTGGAAATAATTAAAATACAGGAGGAAGACCAAAAAAGAGTGAACTATTATTAACATGTTAGAAACATTTAGATTTATATAGAAAGTGCTTAAATCTGAACTATTGCCTAAAAATAGGAGTTAAGAAAGAGTAGACTAGACAGACTTTTGAAAATGCTTGGTAACATAGCCCTATGTTTTTATATATCGTCTGTCACCAGCAGGCATAGAATCTGAACATGATGGCAAAGGCCTTCCCAGAAATTGACACCAGACTTTTGAATAATAAACTAGTTTGGGTCAGGCCTAGTTACACTGAAGAATATTTTAGGCTTCCTAACTTCTCTGAATAGAACTATTCTTTTTAGGGTATAGTATTCTTTTCTCTTTTATTAGTTAAGGGATATTAGAGGAACTGAACAAAGTTTCAATTCAGTTACTTATTATTCTGAGAACAGTGACATAAAAATTTCACAGATTTTTAGGAACAGTCTTTTAACTTGCATTTAGAAATTTAATATATAGTTGAAGTATTACTAATGTTTTCTATCAAACCATTTATGATGATCATGTAAAATCTTGGGAATTGCAAACTATACATCATTTACAGGTTGATAAAAGCTAAGCAGTTATATCCAGTTGAAAGTTTCCTTTTCCAAGTGTGCTTATTGATTTTTGAATTACCAATTTAATCATTTCCAAAGTGTCTTAGGCCTATAACAGGAAAGATACAGTGAAAAGGTTGTTGATTGGAAAAGGTGGTGATTTGCCTGATAATAAACAGCTAAGTGTAATTATTGCGTATATAAATATGAAAAGTTAAATTTAATATTTTTATATCCCATTTGAACAGATATGTGATAAACAGTCTAATCTTTATTCTCTCAAATAAAAACACTGACATTCAGGTAGCAATGTATATTATCCAATGCTCAACCCTAAATAATATAGTTCATTTGTTTGTTTATTTGGCAAATTCATTCACATTTCTGGCACCTTGATGGGTATGACTAGATGTGTGGGCTTAGCTAGGACTTGTCAGCTGGAGAGACTACAGGTAGCCTTTCCAGCATGGCGGCCTCAGGGTATTTAAAGTTCCTATGTCGTGGCTCAGTGTTCCAGTGAACAAGGCAGAAGAAGCTGCATGGTCTAGTGTGATGTAGTCTTGAAGTCACATAGCATCCCTTCTGTTACTCTGTTGGAAGCAGTCACAAGCCCACTCAGATCCAAGAGGAGGGGACGGACATAGATTTCACCTTGTGATGAGAAGTCAAAAAATTTACAGCCATGTTCTAAAACCAACAAAAACTAGTAAGAACAATGATGTTATGAGGCACAGAATACGATTATTATGACTGTAGCATCTCTGTATGCAATCTCACTTGTTTGTTAGAAATTGATAAGTTTTGTCTATAAATTTCATTGAAATTCTTAGAATTTCAGCATCAGCAACAATGAGTCATTTTATAAAAGTTAAGTGGCTGTCACATGCCTTTGTTCTTGAATTTTTAGGGTTTGGAAATCTCTTAATTATTGGTAGAAATTAGCAGTAGTTTGCGTGAATTTGGTCATTTCAAGTTTAAGATCTTCCCTGTTTAAATGAAATTCTACTCTTAAGAAATCTGTTCTGGTTTGAGAAGAGCTGACATTTTCCTCCTATAGATTAAAATATTTATGAAAGATGAATGTTTTTAAATGAAATTGCTGTTATTAACTGATTATATATTAGTAAAACAATGAAAATTTTCAGAGACATGGACAGTGTCCTTCTTTGAAAGGATATATAAAGCCTTTAAGAAATATTCTATATGCTATACTAAATACGTAACATTTTAGTAATTGCTGTGTGAAATTCTGCCAAGCAGGATCAACTGTAAAGCATTCCTCCCACCTTTCTCTACCGCTTTCTCCAACCCACTCTCAATTTAACATTTAAAGCTTACGGTAATTGTGAATATTTTTTGTTGTTAAAATGTGCATTTGCATTCTAGTTTATGGCAAGGTTCAGAACCTTTTTTCTTTTAAAAATTATAGTTTAATGCTATTGTAAAACAAGTTTGAGCAATAGAGAGAAAACCTTTAAAGAAATGTCTTTCCATGCCGAGACCTTTTCTAGTTCATCAGATGGTTTTGAAACTTTTAGGGGTCAAGGGTAGGCTGAGTCAAGATTTCACTTTTAAACTTTAACTTGGAGGGAAGTTTATATTTAGCAGATTCTTATCAGCATTCCTTTCTCATGTATACTGTAAAGAAGCAGATATATATTTGCAGATATATTTGCAAATTAAGCATATTATAAGAATCTAGTATTCAGAATATATAAAGAACTCTTATAAATAAAAAGACAAATAATCCATTCTTAAATGGGCAAAGGATTTGAGTAGATATTTTTCCAAAGAAGATATTCAAATCGCTGGTAAACACATGACAGAGGCTCAGCATCGTTAGTTCATTTTTATATTGGATTATTTGTCTTTTTACTAAATTGTAAGAATTCTGAATACTGGACCCTTATCAGATATATGATTTGCAAATATTTTCTCCCATTCTATCAGTTGTCTTTTGCAACTTTAATTTTTATGAAGTCCAGTTTATCGATTTTTGTCTGTCTGCTTGTGGTTTTGGTGTCATATCAAACAAACCATTGTGTAATCCAAGGGCACAAAGATTTACACGTATGTTTTCTTCTAAGAGCTTACTAGTTTTAGTTTTCACATTTCAGTCTTTGATCCATTTTGAATTAATTGTGATGGGAGAACATAATGTGTATTTTTGAATCCTTTAAATTTTATTGAGGCTTTTTTTTTATGGCCTAGCACATGTTTTATCTTAGAGAATGTTCAGTGTGTACTCGAGATGAATGTATATTCTGTTATTGATGGGTGGAGTGTTGTATATATGTTTATCAGGTCTAGTTGGTTTATAGTACTGATAAAGTCTATACTTCCTTGTTCTATGTCTAGTTCTTCTATCCATTATTGAAGGTGATGTATCAAAGTTTCTATTATTAAATTGTCTATTTCTTTCTTTAATAAGTCATTTTTTACTTATGTATTTTGCTACTCTGGTGCATTTATGTTTATAATTGTTACATCTTGATAGATCAAGCCTTTCTTTACATCATTATAAAATGTACTTCTTGTCACAGAAACAATTTTTGCTTGAGTCTATTTTGTCTGAAATTAGTATGCTCACCCAGCTCTCTTTTGGTTACCGTTTGCATGGTATATGTTTTTCCATCTTTACTTTTGGTCTATTTATGTCTTTGAATCTGAAGGTTGTCTCTGTAGACAGCATATAGTCGATTATTTTTTTTAATTTATTCTGCCAATCACTGACTTTGGAGTGTTTAATCTGTGTAATTTAGTGTAATTACTGATTAGGTAGGCTTTGTATCTGCCATTTTGCAATTTGTTTTCATATCCCTTATTTCTCTTTTCTTCCATTTCTTCCTTCTTTGTGTAAAATAGATATTT